TAAAGGCATGTTTTACAGTCTCTATACTCCAGTTTACGATTAATCGCATTAATCGATAACTAAATTAGTTGATGAATATTTCCAATAATCAAATAATCGCAATTAATCCAATTAATTGTTTCAGCCCAATTTTGGTCTGACTTGATGCCAGACAGAGAAAACTATTTCTGTTTTTAGACCGTCTGGTTTAATGTCTTGTTTCAGTGGTTTAGATAAGTGTACTGTATTTCTAACATCTGCTAAATCTACTTTGTGTAGCTTTCGGTTTAGTAACCATTTTTCTTTTTTCTTTTAGCTCGCTGCGGTCCTCCAAACAACGTATTGCTGAGCCGCCCACCTGGAGAGCTGAAAGTAAACGTGAGCTGGCTTCCTGAAGACATAAAATACATCAACAACTTCTCAGTGAGATACAAAGTGCTGGGCAGCCACTCCTGGAACGAGGTCAGGAATAATAACCTGTTTGTTTTTATAACCACCATACGTGATGACAGCCGAACATGTTTGAATAACAAATTTCAAAAGCGTTGCAGAATAGTAGGATGTTATAGTTTTCGTTTGATTTCAGATTAGTTTATTTCAAGCTCAGGGTGAAATGTTTTGCTGACATGAGTTCTTGTAGCTCCTTTGATTAATGAAAATGGGGGCAGGTGGAGAGTTTGAATACATTGTTCCTCTGAGTGCAAACAAAGCACACGTGAAAGGAGGTAAACATAGGAAACATCTGTGGTGAACAGATAAGACGCTTTCTGCTAAACACGTAGTTTTCTTTAATGATTTAGTCAGAAAGTGCTGACAGGAAGTGAGTCCAGTTAGTTTAAAACTTTGGACTGTGTGGATTGTTTCAATCTTTAAGCACCTCTGCGCTGATTCTGTGCTGTTTTCTCAAACTTGTTGGATTAAAGTCTTAAAATCTATATCTATTCACATCATTTTTTAATGTGGATCCACTGCAGGAATTGAAGTGAATTAGGATTGTAAAAAACAAAACTGTTACAATGTAATACCCCTAAACAATGCATCTTAACATCCCTTAATGTTGCAATTTACTTGTAATATATACGTTAATGAGTACATTTGTTTATTTCATGGATACCAACTCAAAGGGTAGAAAATTTGCTGGTTTCTTTCCTAACAACTCTATTTCCTTTTTTATTGCATCCTAAACACTGCAGGTTATTTAATCTGCTGATGTTTTCAGTTATTATCTCTTTCTGAGTAAAAGCCAGGTAGATTTTTAAGCCTTATTTGTGTTTTCCGCTAAATAACTACCTTGTTTTGGGGAATTGCTTGCAGAAACTAATTAGGGGACTAAGCTTTGAACGATTTAGACCTTTGGTCTATGAGCTCTTGCCACCTTGAACCACCTTACCACTGTTGTGTGTGTGTGACACCACATAAACCATACCCCCCTGTCAGACAAGCCAAAGGACTAGGTGGGGTTTGGTCTTTGCAACAAATGTGGCTGTTATGTGGTGCAGGTGTTTTTTGATGTAGGGTGATTTTTAGGAGTTAAGACCCTCGGTTAAAGTGAGATAAACTCTTAATGCTGCAGCATCCAAAGTCTTTGCTCCCAACTCTAAATAGTTTAAGCCCCGCCCCTTCCTTCATATTAATACACAAAGGAAGTGACTAAAAACACATAGAAGAATTTTGCCAGCCAGCAAAGCCTTAACTTAAACCCGACAGAAAATTTTGGAATGAATTAAAGCAGTGATTGTGAACAAGGCCTTCTTAACAAACGTCGGTGTCTGACCCCACTAATGCATTTCTGAAACAATGGTCAAAAACTTCCACAAACAGGCTCCCAAACTTTGTGGAAAGCTTTCCCAGAAGAGTTAAATCTGTTGCAGCTGCAAAGAGTCGGTCACAGAATAAATATTTTGACCTACAATTGATTTTAAAAAAGCAATTTACCTGGAATTAAATCTTAGTTCTATATACGATTGATCCACTGGAGATATCTCAATACATCCTATAAAGAAATCCAGTGTTATCATGAGAATCAACTTATTTATTATAGGTAATCTGTAATTAATAAGGAAATTCAGTTTGTTTAACTAGGGACAACATTGTGTATGTTTTCGCCTATGTCTTTTTATAATAATGTTTTTTACTCTGAGCTTGTTGTAAGTACTGATTGTGATGATTTTTGTTGAAAATGGACCCCAGGAAGAGCAATCTCTACTCTCATAGAGACTAATGGGGATCCTTAAATAAACAAATAAAGATAATTTAATTTATTCTGCACATGTTTATCGATAAACTTACAAAGGAATAAATATTTATGTTATTTAAGACTTAGAGTTACATTGGAGACGTTACATTTGCTCATTTTTGTTGTTCTGTGTTTAAACCTGGGCTGTGGGCTTTAGACAGAGGCTGAACTACATCAATATGGAGGATAATTAGAGTCTAATTTGATAATTAGAGACACATAAATGTGAGTTTATTAAGCCTTTCTTCAACCTTAAAATGCTGTTTCCAAAACTTTTTTTTAAATCTATACTTCAATTCAAGTCATGAAATGCCAATTTTTGTCATGAATATATTTTTTTCACCAAAGGATTATTGAGATTATTATTGGTTTATTATTATTAATGATAATTATTATTGTATTGATAATTTTCCATTAAATTCTTTCAGTGAAATGCAAATAAAAGCATCTTTTATTTTTCTGCTTTGTAAAAACTTTCAGACTCCAATTTCTGCTTTGTTCACAGTCTGTGGAATCCCCTGATAAATTTGTAGTTAAAGTGGAAAAGCTAAACCCCTCGTTTGTCTACGCTGTTCAGATACAATGTGTAGTTTGTTCAAAATGCTCCCAGTGTCCATGGAGTAAAATCTACACTGTTCCGCCAGGTGAGGACTTTGCATTTCCTGAACCAGTATAATTTAATGCCAGATAAATCTAAAACTCATCTTAAATCATCCAAATCCAGGAAATTGTTGTGGTTTTGAACTTCACTCTGTTCCTTTTTCAGAGCTTAGATCTCCTCCCATCGAGATCAGCTCCAAATACTCTGAAATGACAGAGGAACCAGGCCGCCGGCTGATCACTATAACCTGGAAGGTACATGTAAACATTAATTCTGAACAGTTTTAAAGCATTGAAAAAAAAGAGAAATGTTATGACATAAGGCCAAAGCAGTGAAACTGAAGTTATGTTGTTTGGTAGTATCCTGTCAAAGATCTCTTTGATGGCTACCGAGTCACCATTTGGAAAGAATGTGGAGAGCCTCCAAGAGAGGAGATGAATACCACAGAGCCTGAGATCAAACTGATCCTCTCTTATTCAGCTTATCAGCTCAACATCAGCGCGTACAACAATGTGAGCGTCTCCCCTGCTGGGACCCACATCATTCCACAACATAAAGACACACAAAGTAAGAAAATCACACCTTTGCTGCTTTCTTTCCATCTTTCGTCTTTATTTATGAGAAACTGAACAGGTTGTTTTGGTTTTTCAATAAATGACCTAAATATGTAGACTGATGCAGCCTCGAATCGACAGGTTTAGGAGACGGGAGGCTGAACGTGACAGTCCACAACAGCACAGCGTTTACAATCCAATGGAGAAGGGCTTTGATCAGACGGTACGTCTGCTACTCAGTGGAGTGGATGAAAAAGGGGCATTCAGCTTGGTACCGATCGTTCTTTGAGGACACCAACAGCAGCAAGACCTTATCCTCTTTATCAGGTGGGTCACTGTTCAAATTCAACAGTAGCTGTTTTTATCTCGCTCTGATTATGACTTTTTCTGGGGCGAATTTTAGAAAGTAAGACTTTGCTCATTGAGCTGAGTTGTGATTATGCATAAAAGAAAACAAATGTAATAAATTTCTTCCTCTTAGTCAATAGAATGGGAATTATCCGTTTGTTGGTAATAATCAACAGCAGATAGGCTTAGAGTTACATTGGAGACGTTACATTTGCTCATTTTTGTTGCTCTGTGTTTGAACCTGGGCTTTAGACAGAGGCTGAACTACATCACTATGGAGGATAATTTGACTCTAATTTGATAATTAGAGACAAATAATTTTGAGCTTATTAGGCCTTTTGTCAACATTAAAATGCTGTTTCCAAAACTTTTTTTTAACATATCTACTATACTTCATTTGAATTCATGAAATGCCAATTTTTGTTATGAATATATTTGTTCCCGCAAGGATTATTGAGATTATTAATGGATAATTATTATTGATTATTGGATTATTATTGTATGGATAATTTTGCATTAAATTCTTTCGGTGAAATGCAAATAAAAGCATTTTATTTTTAAATCAAGATATTTTTTCTTGTTTTATTACAGGATTCAAAATGTTCAATGAATGACAAAAAGAATAAATGTAAATCTAATAGACTTTTGGTCTTAACTTTAGCAACTATCGACCCAAAGATTTTATTATAATAAGAATGTATCCATTATATAGCTATTAGTGGACAACATATATTAGCGGAAGTGCACACAACACTGGAAAAACGATCTAGAAATAAGTACACATTTTTCAAATTAAGTGTATTTACCCTTAATTTGAGTAGTTAAATACGATGATCTACCAATGGAATGAGTATTTTTACTCTTAAAATACAATAATTAGATAAAATGTACTGGAAATATGAAAATGCAATTGTTTTTTCATATTTTAAGTTTATTTCAAGTGTAAATTGTATTTTTCCATTGGCAAAATGTCTCTTTTATCTCCTCAATTCAAGAAAAATGCCCTTATTTTAAGAAAAAAATTACTTTTCTAGATGAAAATTTTTTGCAGTGAAGTTAATTTGGTGAGAAAAGTATTTTTTCTTTGGTAACAGCAGGACAGTTGCAACATCTTTGTGTGGTTATCGTAAATGTCATCCATCCCTTTAGCTGATTGTTTTTTTTTAACAAAGTCGGGAGAGTAGATAAAGATAATAAGAAGCAATGTTGTGAAACTTTTGCTTTCAATTTATTCACTGAAAGAAAAAGACTGGTGGTTAGAAAGACGTATCAGTTTGTTTGTAATCTAGTATTAAATGTGATTTTTATCTTTGGCATCTGGTGAAACATAGTGGATAAAACAAGTATCAAATATCAAATCTTTTTTTCTTAGTTTGAATATTTTTTAACCTTTTTTAAATAAAGTTCCCACCACATATCTACAACAATCAGACACATTGTACAAAGAAACTGAAGCACATTTGACTACATTTGAAACACTAGAAAAAAAAAAAAATTCAAAATATCTGGTGATTATAAACGTAAAAAATTCTCCAGTCTTAAACACATTCATTGCTCAGATGCTATTTGACCCCTTTGTGTTTTCAGATTACCTTTAAAATGTGATGATTCTTCAGGTCTTTTTTCTGAACGGGCCATTTATTGAATTTCACCATCTTTCACTGAAACTTAGTTAAGAGCATCCTTGGCTGTGTGTTCGGCAAACTTTATCTTTTCGTGAATCTAATCTCATTTAATTTTCAGATTCCAAACAAGAATATTCTGGAACATTTCACCATTTACTTTTACTATAGTTCATCAGTATCAGTATTAAATACAGCTAACCTAAGGGGTAAGATAAGTGTCAATAAAGTATAGGTAGGTGTCTGCGTCTGTAAATTGTAGTCAGTTATGAATAAATTTAAGATTTTTATTTGTTCCTTGTTGTCAACTTGCTCTTAAAAAGATATACAAGTTTATCTCTACTACATTTCTATTACACAAGTACTGCAATTTTAACTGTTGGTGGCAGTAAGTGGTTGGAGATTTTTACTCATAAAACTATGGTTTGTACTCATAAATATGGGATGCATACCTATACATTTGCAAATCGTACTTTTAAGTTTGCAAATCTTACTCGTAAGTTTATGACATGGACTTGTTAGTTTGTGTGTTGGACTATTGTATCCTATTTCACATGCAGGGACACAACAAGAAACAAACACAATTCTTACATTTATTCAACTTGACTTACGTTGACAGATTCAGACACCTACTGTACATACACATTTTAACTGACACTTAAATTGGTCGATATAAACAGCCCACGCCCTAATGTTTACCACTTTAATATTAGTGTAGAGGAAAAGAGAAAAAAAAAGATGCCAGAGAACCCCTACCAGCTTCCTCTGTAAACAAACAGTTTCTTGTCTTTTGGTTTCACTAAATAGTTGAGTAAAAACACCAAGCAGCACACAGCAACACCGTCGCACTTTTTTTTTTTTAAAGCAAGATTGCTTTAGATTAAGGCCCAGGCAAAACAGGAACCTGGCCCCTATGGAGTGCACTCTTTATGCAGAACCTGACAAGCCGCAGCTCCTTTCAGCTCATGTAAGGCACCTGAAACGGAGGAAAGAGAACCTCAGAGATCGGAGACCACAGCTCGTTAATGCCTAATCCGGGTTTGTTATGATAGCTTGATCATGCCCTTCCTTCAGCAGCGGAGTCTTGTATAGTAGGTTTGCAAAGAGAATTTCTCGGTCATAAGTGAACAGTAATTTCTCTATAGAACTACATGATCTCTTCTTATCCTATATTGCCATGCCTGGATTAAAGCGAGGTTTTGTTCTTCCATTGCTGTTAGTTTGCAGAAGTTATATTGTTCTTCCTAATTTGTGCAACACTTTCTGACAGTATGTTCTCGGCTTGCCGTGCTGTTTTGCACTTGCATGTGTCATTCCAAGATTATACCTATAACTGCAGTTGTGTAATCGCTTTCTTTGATTTTTCTTAAAATGTGTGACTTGCCTGGGCTCTTGTGCATTTTCTGCCAATGGCACCATTAGCAATATTTAAACTCATAAACATGTTGATGGGTTTGACTATTATTACGCCATACACTGCAGAATTATTAGGCAAGTTATATTTTTGAGGATTATTTTTATTATTGGGCCACAATTGTGTTCCCAATCAACCCAAAAGACTCCTTAATATCAAACTTTCAGATTTTTGGAAGTTGATTTGTTTTTTTGTTTTTTTAGATATGGCCATTTTATGAGGATGTCTGTGTGTGCAGGTAAATATTACTGTGCAGAATTATTAGGCAACGTAAAGAAAAAACCCAAATATATACCAATCTCACTTGTTTATTTTCACCAGGTAAACCAGTATAAAAACAACAGAAAATTCAGAAATAAACATTTGCGATATTCAAAAAAACAAAAAACAAATCAGTGACCAATATAGCCACCTTTCTTCACCATGACGCTCAAAAGCCTTCCATCCATAGATTCAGTCAGTGTCTTGATCTGTTTGCGATCCAAATTTTGTGCAGCAGCCACCACAGCCTCCCAGACACTGTTCAGAGAGGTGGACTGTTTTCCCTCCCTGTAGATCTTACATTTCATGAAGGACCACAGGTTCTCCATGGGGTTCAGATCAGGTGATCAAGGGGGCCATGTCATAATTTTTTCTCATTTTAGACTTCTCTGGCCAGCCACGCTGTGGTGTATTTTGATGCATGTGATGGAGCATTGTCCTGCATGAATATCATGTTTTTATTGAATGAAGGTGACTTCTTCTTGTACCACTGTTTGAAGAAGGTGTCTTCCAGAAACTGGCAGTAGGTCTGGGAGTTGATCTTGACTCCATCATCAACCTGAAAAGGTCCCACAAGCTCATCTTTGATGATACCAGCCCAAACCAGTACCCCACTGAGTCGATAAGGAACTTGCTGCCCTTTACTGATCCAGCCTGGTGCCCATCCATCCATCTGGCCCATCAAGACTCACTCTCATTTCATCAGACAGAAACACCTTGGAGAAATCAGTCTTCAGATATTTCTTGGTCCATTCTTGACTCTTTGTCTTGCCTTATGTGTCTTGTTCAAAGGTGGCCTCTTTTTGGCTTTCCTTACCTTGGCCAGGTCCCTGAGTATTGAACACCTTGTGATTCTTGGCACTCCAGACATGTTCAAGCTCTGAAATATGGCACAACTGGTGGCTAATGGCTTCCTGGCAGCTTCACACTTGATCCTTCTCAATTCATGGGGAGTTATTTTGCATCTTCTTTTTTCAACACACTTCCTGCGCCCCTGTTCGCTATTTGACATGAGACGCTTGATTGTGCAATGATCCCGCTTCAAAAGCTTGGCAATTTCCAAACTGCTCCACCCCTCTGAAAGATATCTGATCATTTTTAACTTTTCAGAGTCGGTCAAATCTCTTTTCTGACCGATTGTGCCAAAGGAAAGGAAGATTCCTTATAATTAAGCACACTTTATATAGGGTGTTGATGTCATTAGGCCACACCCCTTCTCATTACAGAGATGCTGCACACCACCTGATTTACTTAACTGGTAGTTGGCTTTCAGGCCTATAGAGCTTGGAGTAGGACAACATGTATGAAAAGGATGATGTGGTTGAAATACTCATTTGCCTAATAAATCTGCACACATTGTATATGGGCTGTCCTGCTTATTCAATTAGCCATTTCATTTGTGGGTTTTTCTCTGTGTTTTTCTTTTTATAAATGATTTTAGAACATTTGGAGCCTTACCAGAGATACAGTGTCATTCTTCACTTGCGACCAAGCAAGAACACCTGCAACATCAAGCATATCAACAACAGTGAGAGCACCTATGGGACTAAAGAGTTTTATCACATTGAAGGATGTAAGTCAAAGACTGACTTTGTTCTCAAACCTTCTATTCAAGTTAAATTTATAATCAAAAGAAATAACTTTATGTTGCTTTATGTTGTTATGTCTCTAAATCCCCTACAGCTCCTATCAGCGCTCCCACAAACATCAGTTTCCACAACGTGACGGTTAATTCAGCCGTGCTGCAGTGGTCAGAGATCCCAGAGGAAGACTTAAGGGGGTTCCTGCTGGGTTATATAATCCACTACACCGAGTATCGCTACATGCAGACAGAGTACAGTAAGCACTAATCCTCAGAAACTTAATGATACAAAACCTTTTGGCGAATATGTTGTCTTTTTTATAGTTGCCCTATAGTTATAATAATAATATTCAGTGTTGGTGGTTTATTTGTCATTCCAATTGTGAAAGTCAGAGAAAAAAAACTGTTAGACAATAAAATGAGTTGGCACGGAAATTGACCTAAAAACTTTCTTTTGAAAAGTGATTCTAGACTGAAAAATATGAGTCATTCCAATTCTGGCTTTCAGCTCTGTGGGTCTAAAGGGCAGCATGAAAATAGGCTTTAAGAGGCATCTGTGGGAAAGTATGAATGAGACGTAGACAAAGGAGGGAATCTGTGGTGGAAACTTTAGTTCAGGTCAGTGGCGGCCGGCCCATAGGGGGCGCTGGGGCACCGCCCTCCCTGATAAGAAGAGAGAAACGTAAAATATATTTTTAGAAATTAACTCATAAATGTCACTTTTACTCTCTAGAGTGTGTACCTATAAGCAAAACAAATTATATAAACTACATTTCCCTATCTACTGTCATTCATTTGTGGATTTCCACAGACAGACTCCTACCTACTCTGTCTTGGGGTTGTGATCAGACTGCCCCACATTTGCAGAAAATCTGTCAATCATGTACTATTGCTAGGTGAATTTAATGGCCAATCAGCGTCTCAGAACTTTATGGTCTTGGGGCGCTGAAAATACTGCACTTTAACAGGCTTCTGCACCCAATGCGCAGGTGCAGACAATGAGAGGGACGATGGCGAACGTAACGAGCGAGATGGAGCTTCCACCAAATTCAGTAAGATCCTTATTTATCTACCCCTTTGACAGAAGAACATCCCTGTTGTAGGGTAGGAAAATTTCATGTCATGGTTATTGTGACTGTGACGAATCCACCTGGTCGCTTAAAACAACCTCTCTAACTTTGTGTGCCACACACACATTCCTGTTATACTGTGTTTGTGAGGACCAATACGCTCGCGCTGAGCCCAGTAGCTCCATTAACTTAAAACACACAATCTGTTCCTGGTTACCTGCTGGCGTATTGAGGGTGCACACTTAATATTTCAGTGGGGTTAGCCGTGTGTGTGTGTGTGTGGGTGTGGGTGTGTACGTGTTTATGCTATGGGGACTTGTCATCTTTGGCTGCGTCTTTGCTGGGTTCAAACCCAGTTTG